AAAGGCTTTCACCAAGACACATTGTATTAAAATTATCAAAAATCAACGACAAAGACAGAATTCTCAAGGCAGCCAGGGAAAAGAAGATGGTAACCTGTAAAGGAAAACCCATTAGATTATCATTGGAGTTCTCAGCACAAACCTTCCAAGCCAGAAAAGAGTGGAATCAAATATTCAAACTATTAAATGAAAAGAACTACCAGCCCAAAATAATATATCCAGCTAAGCTCTCCTTTAGATATGAAGGAGAAATAAAGACCTTTCCAGACATACAAAAATTGAGGGAATTCTCCACTACGAGGCCTGTGCTACAGGAAATATTGAAAGGGCACGTCAGCTCACTTAAAACAAAATGACAAAAAAACGAAACAAAACAAAACAAAAAACATAATTAGGAGTAAGGTGTCTAGCAGGCTAATAAAAGCAGAGTAGTAAAGATCACTTTCAATTATGAAATTCTATAATTCCATAAAACAGATAGTAAGAATTTTTGGCATGTAAGAAGAATATTTCCAATCCCAGAAATAAAATTTACATGTAGCAACTTTTCATTTAGGAGCTTAAGATATCTCGTTTGCTTCTATTAATGCCTCTTTTTAATGAGTGATTTCTGAATTCTCTTACTAAGGTAGAGGAGATTTATTTTTATTTCCAAATGTTTTCGAAATTATTTAGATATATGATCTAAATAGCTGGATATATGACCTAAAGAAATTTGCTGGTAGATAATTTCCTTTAATTTTCACTGAAGTAATAACTTTGCAAATGTAATAGCACAGCCAAGTGCTATTCTGAATTCGGAAATCAAATTCTAACAAATTAAGTACATTTGATATTTTTCTACATCTAGTACCCCTAAAATAGCTAGATGATCTAAAGCTTCAGATATTCACAAGAAAATCAACTCCTAAACTGACAAAGGAGTACAAGATTAGTTAGCTAATTTTCTATTATATGTAGGATTAATTACTTCAATTCAACAAGATACTGTCAAGGTTACTCTTGTGGCTAATGCATAATTAATAAAGAATATCACTGACTCAATAACAAAAGTTTATTTCATTAGACTCTTCTAAATCTACTTGGTCATTTTACATTCTCAGTAATGTCGCAAGGGGGCAAAGGGAGTGTGCATGAGCAGTTGCTTTTTTGTATTTTATCACTGACATTACTTATAATTGCTGACTTCTACTTGGCATTATTTATTGTTTAAAATCTCTATAGCCAACAAACCCCTTATTGCTTACAATCATGTGGAAGTCCCAACTGACAGTCTTTGGAACCACAGCACATTCTAGTTAACTCTTACACATCTACGATTTGTAATAATTTCATCTCTATTTATTTTTTTGTCTTTTTTCCCCATTACATTCTGAGCTCCATGCCTCACTTTATCTATTTTTCCTGTGGGATACACTAGTAATTAAGTTGTTATACTTCTATAGGCACTTACCCATTTCCTTCCAGTAAAAGGGATTGATGTGACCAGATGTACTGTGGTAGATTAACATTGTCTTAGGTCTAGAAAATGAAATAAAATTTAGATAAATACAACAAAACAGAGAACTAATGAATGAAAGATGAGGGGACATAATACTTAGACAAGGTTGTTTCAATAATTCCCATTGAGAAAGGCAACCTATGCAACACTTCCATCTTTTGTTCCTTTTGGTTAATGAGCAAAATGGAAGTCTGGGAAAATGTATGTGTATGTGTATGTGTGTGAGAGAGAGGGAAAAAAAAGAGGAGAGAGAGAGAGAGAGAGAAAGATCTCAAATAGGCTGACATATCTATGGAGCAAATGGAGATACCATGATGATGAGAAAGTAGATCATATTTATAACTTATGGACATGTCTCACTGGGCAAAAATATAGGCTCTGTTTTCTCCTAAATCTAGTAAAGCTCTGCTGTTTTAGAAAACATCTAAATGCCTGACTTCAAATATGAAAAATTTAATTCTATTTACCATTTACTAACAGAGCCAAATATAAAATATACAACCTAATTTTTTTCTTTGTACTAGGAAATACTCCCACACATGATGATCTTAAATTTTGGCATTTATCAGAAATTGAGCAGTTCAATGAAATATAAAATATGCTCTCATTTCATCCACTTTTGTATCCTCAGCCTTAAAAAAGAAAGTTGTATTTTAGATTACTGAATAGAAAGAAAAGCTTTTTGGTTATCAGGAATTTTACAGTTAAATGATATAAAGAATTTGTACTTTATGATCAACAAAGTACTAAGCAGGACAACTCAATGCATATATGATGGCATATTTGGAACTATGTAAAATATTGAAGTGGATACCCTCTCACATTTGGAGTCTTTTATGATAAAAATGCATATATTTTGAAAATAAGCCTAGCATTTTCACCCTCCTTATTATCAAATCTTTGAAAGCCACCTTAAGCATCCACACCTGTGAACCGCCGTGTACCATCCTACAGCCAAGGTGAGATTGATGACTGTATCAGCCGGAATTAAATCTATTATGTTCGTTGGCTCAATTGCTTGGAGCCGGAGAAGCCCTTTTCCAGTCTGCACAAGAAGAACATGAAATGTTGAACCAGGGCTTAAGTAACAGCTGGGGCTCATACTCATGCTGTCAGTCGTAAGAGCTAACACTGATTCACTGCTTACTAGGTAGTTGTGCTAAGGTAGATTTCTCTCAGCCTATCCAAGTTCCCAACCAAGTTCATCTCAAATGCCAACATTTCCATGAACCACTAGTGGTCCTTAGGTTCCTTTAGGGAGTGAAAGTCCTCAAATTTGTGAGAAGTTAATATAGTTAATTAACAAAAGCCAAGAATAGTTGTTCACATCTTAAAAAGTAATTCATAAGACATTTTAAGAACTAAGATTTTCCAAATTTCTCATTAATACTTCCTTTTAAATTTAAGTTTGCCATTTCCTAAAAGATGTTGTTTTCTGCTAGTGCTTACTAACTTACCAGCAATAGTAGACACTAAAAGTTTAACAAATATTTATTTAAAAAAATAATAAAATTCTACCATTTAACAACAACTTCGTTATTACTTGGAAAAAGGCCATCATTATTTACATCCAATATCTTAGTTCACCTCACAGATCACCAATATAATTTAGAATTATTCCTGTTAATAAATAAGTCATGCCAACAAATAAATAAGTCAGTTAATAGGTAAAAAATATTTATTGATTTCATAAAGTAATTGATATTTATACCCTGCAACATCAGTTTACAGTGTTTAGCACTTTCTTATGTTCCCAATTTCTGTTATCTTATAATTTCCTTTGAACATAAGAATCAGTTTGGAAAATTTTAGAAAATTTGAATATGCAGCTTTATAAACAATGTACTGAAACTCACTCTAGGGTCATGTTCAAATAATTACGTTCTAAGCTATCAAATGTTCACCCGAACAAGCCTTAAAGAAACAAGAGCTGAAGGCTGATACAGAACAAAAACAGAGAAGTGGCTAGAAAAAAAGAAAAAAGAAATCAGAAAGTTCATTATCACTGTCTTTGATAAGTAGTTGTAATTTACTGTCTTATATTTGTATTTTAGTTCATGATGAACCTAGCTCTGAGAAGAACAGAAGCAGTCTGAAGCATGAGATTTCTAATAAGATTTAATCTCAGTTAGGGAATCGAATTCCTATCATGGTCCTAAAGAGTAGAGTTGTGGTTCTGGCCCTAAAATGCTTCAGTGCGAACTGTGAAGCACCACAGCCCAGACTGGACCTGTCCTCACTGCAGGGAGACACACACAGAGGCCTGTTGACCTTGAGAAACCACTGACAGTCCTCCTTGTCTGTGAGGAAATTATCGTTGAAAAGTGTTTCCCATATGCATCAATTTTTATATTGAAAAGTTTGCTCCAATTGGTAGGTCTGTTTCCTGGATCTATTAAGAACGTAGCCATTTATGTATTTTCTGTATATATAAAATCTCTACCCACACACACATCAACTCTTGTATGTGTCTTATAATCAAGAATTTAACAATCTTTGCGAATATGACTTAATGCATCCTCAATTTGCAGCGAAAAGGAGGAAACACCTCCATCTTGTGGTAGCTAAAGGGAAATACAGACATGGTTTTCGAAGCTCAAAGACTTTGCAAAAACAAACTCTTAAATAGTAATTGATGATATCACAGTACCTCTGTTTTCTGATAATAAAATCCACAAATAAAAGTAATTTCATCCTGTCTCGATTTTCCAATTAGCAAAATTGAGATAAGTTGCTTCAATTGTGGTTAGTAAACTAACATTTATGGTGTTGGATCAATGAAGCTCAAGCCAACACTAAGCATTTTGTTACTATCTCTCCACTACATTTCAAGCAGTTATTTCCACATTATTGTACATACCACAATAATGGTCTTACTAATTCCATTCATAGTATCAATCCAACCCTAAAAAAAAGAAAAGAAAAAGGAAATCTCTTGGTTACACATGTCAGAAAACTGGAATACCTTTGAAACACCTGCAGTCTAATCTTAACCAACTTCAAACAAGAGCACTGAGACACCTGACAATAGAACTGCTCAATTCAGTATTTTACAGATCCCAAAGGTCGTTGGCAAAGCACTGGATATTTTCTGCACTTTATCTGTGCAAGAATTAAACTTTTGCCAGCAGGAGTCATGGATTGTTTCAAGTTGTTTGAATGACATCTTAGGGGCTAAATTGGACCTTGTTTTAATGTCATAATCTGCTAACCAATTCATCAACTATTTTTTCTCTCCACCTGGGGCCTGATTTTATCTCCCCAGGGGAACATTTCAAACATGATTTGTAGAAATTATCCATTTCTTGAGAATTTCAGGAGTCGTGGCATCCATACTATCTCTCTATATTTTTGTATTAGTTTGCTTAGTTATGGGATAGATTATGTTTGGGAGCAGATCTAGGAAAATGTCTTTCTGAGTTTGTCTCCTATACGCTAAGCAAGTCAGTTGACCTTATCATGTCTGTTTCTTTCCCTGTAAAAGTTAACATGTGAGTGTAAAATGAAAGAGAGAGAAAAGAGGAGAAAATGGAAGGATTAATTGTTGAAATTTTTACTAGGGACCAGGTACTGTACACTCCTCATGCATTGTCTCATTTGATCAACTCTCCAAGGTGGGTAGTAATAGCCCAGTTTTACAGATGAAGGAACTCAAAAGGCTGCATTGTCAGTAGTTAGTAGAGCTCGAATTTACCTGGCCCTAAAACTTCACAGAATTGCTTCAAAGAAAATGGTATAATCAAAGTACTTTAAAAAGGACAGAGGAGTGTAAAGAGCTAAAAATTATTATTCCTAAACTGAGAGCCTTCTGTGAGCTTCGTGATTCCTATTTACTCTGACAGTAGTAACACTACTGATTTTGCCACCAAGAACATTCTGGTACTTTAAAACTACAGTGAGAAAGACTAGAGTTAGTGAGAAGCTAATTTAAGATCATCACCCAACTCTAGAACAGTCACTGTAAGTCCCAGAGGAGCCTCATACTGGATAAATACTGAAGCAAATGAAGAATTTTGCCCCAACATAATGGGTGCGTGTTTGATTTCCTGCATCCCGCTATATTCCCGAAGAGAGAGAGAGAAAGAAAAGGACAACAGAAACTAATTGAGCTAGAAGGACAATGGCTGGAAGCAAAGCGAGGAATCCCAGTGAGCGGGGCTTACTGGGAAAGGCTCCTGCCAGGTTGGTCCAACAATGGAGGGCCTCACGATGGCAATGTTTAGCTTCTCGCCCTCCTGCTGCACCACCATCTCTCCCAAGGCCTTGCTGTAGGTGTAAGTATTGGGCTGATCCCCAATCAGCTTGGGTGTGATCTCGTCAATAATAGCATCATCTAACCACCTGAAGGCAGTAAGGGTGAAAAAAAATTCTGGCAATGTATGTTAGACAAGAGACCAAAAAGAAACTCTGAAACACAGATGATCAAACAAAACTTCCACTTTCTAGCTTGAGTTCCGGAATTCAGAATGCCAAGGATGAGGGTATCCAAATCATGTACAGTGGAAGAGCTCTTTGCTCTCTATTGCTAAGCCCAATCTTATCAGTTGAATCCTACTTCTTCCTGCCTAGATAGATAATTCAACAGCTATGCAATCTACTACTTTATTACATATAATCTCTAATTATCTTCAATTACTTCGTCTCCAACAGGTTCATAAGTACACATTCATTGAGCACAGTTATGAGTGCCAGTCATGAGTCCAGGAGCATGGTAGGTGCTGAGTACATGGAATTTAGAGGTTCTCTCATCCAAAGTGCTTCTGTGGCAGTGCCACTCATTCAGTGTTGTCTAATTAAAACCCAATGCACCAATCTTGCAAACTTTATCTTTTAATTTTTAAAATTCTATTCAATGCCTCAGTAAATAAAAGCAACTACATTTGGCAGACTTACAATCTGTTTTAGCAAATCTATGAAATGTATTTTGAAGGTCTGTCCTAAGTTTATGCTAATAACTTGATAATTATTTCCAAAGATTTCCAATGAATTCTGAAGTGCTCTAATAACTAGTAATAGTCTGTCAAGTGGAGTGATTATCATACTCTGAAGCTGTCTTAAGAGTGATTATTGAATATCACTACTTTCAAGAAGATAAATATCACATATTAGATATGTATGACATTAGTCTAATCTTTTCTTTAAAGATGTCTGATCCATTTTAATAATACCGAAGTCTAGCTGCACTTCTTGAAGAGAGCAATACATAAAATGACTGTCAATCAAATAGTTCATGTTTTTCTTATCTGGCAAATCTATTCGATTAAACTTTTGATATGATCGAGATTTTAAAAAATCAGGCTACCTAAATATGTTGTGCAATTTTTATAATCAATATATCTGATATATTTATTCCTTAATGGGCTGACTCAGTCATATTATTTTGATTATAGAAAAATCTGAGCTGTTTCCACTTTGCTCCCATGACAAATTGTTGAGCATTTAAGGTGTGCAATGCCAAGACTTACTCAGAAACACAACTTTCCACTTTATAACTCTCATTTGACATTGGAGCAGAACATGAGCACTGTCTATAATTTGTTTTTTCTCTTTGCTGTTACTAGTGCTGAGCGTTTTCTAGATATTCAAATGCCTTTTGATTTACATTGAATAGAGAAAGACTGAGAAGTTCCTAGAATTAAAAACAACTCTAAATATTTAGAAAAATATAAGATATTCCAATTATATGGCCACCTGAGGGTTCGAGAGAGTGTGACACAATGCAGGCCCCTCTCCATTACCTTTATTTACCTCATCTCGTTTGTGGGTCAACAGTGGGCTAGCTAGCCTAAGACTATTTTTCTTTCACCTGCAAAAACATGCAGGTTACAACTGGGTCAGAAGAAATACAACCTAATTTCAATAAGGCTGTAAAGAAAAAAATTCTAAGAAAACTCAGATCCCAGCAATGCATTAGCATTGTATGTCGCATGGCTGGCACCAGTTGCTGTCACTGATGTGCTGGTGTACATGGAAAGGGTAATACACAGAAGCTTTACCAAGTTGGGCAAGTTAGCTTCTTAGAAAATATTGGTTTCATAGGTTTCTAAGAACACAAATGCAAAAGAAATTGTAATGTTCTGTAGATGGCTTGCCTAGTCATAGCTCCATCTGTATTCTATTGTATTGTCTTCTTGTTTCCTCCATTTTTACTTGTCCAAAATGGCAATAATTACATCTGTGCTAAAATCTGAGGTTAGCATGAGGACAAACAGGAATATTCGCAGCTGAACTTATAGGTATTTGATAAAACAAAATGAACCAATAAACCTAGGGCATTCTTATTTTTGCTTAAAACAACATAGGTAATAGTTGATTTTAAAATATCTTTTCTAATGCAGCCAAACAGATCATCACCTGTCTCATCCAGCCACTTCCTGAGCTGACAGAGATGAGTCTAATAAGGGCGCACATCTATTGGTTGTTATATCCTTTTCAGAATCTATAACCAATTCATGCTCTTCTTTACCAAAGTTTAATTTGCTGCTGCAGTTTGTTCTATTTTTAAAACGGTCAGTAAATTAGCATGGAAAAAAGTCACCATATAAACCAAAATTTCTAAAATTAATCAAATACCCTTCAGTGCACTCAAGGTATTTTGAACCTATGGGTCCCACATTCTAAACTTCTACTTCAACTGATTCAAAAGAAGCAAAAAGTTATTAAAGATTTTAAAAACCAATGTGTGTGTGTGTGTGTGCGCGCGCACGCATGTGTGTGCATTGACACATATACCTACAATTTCCTCTAAATATTACTATCTTTTTTATTTTAAACTCATTGAATCAACCTCCTAATATCATTAATAATTTCACAATTTATGTATTTACTGAATGAAATAGCAAGAGGAATGCGTATTTTTGCTTATTGCAGGGCAAGCCTACTGTGTATGAGGAAAGCTTTCTGGAGAGTAAGTACTGAACACACTGCCTCGTGGTAATATTTGCTCTCTTTTTCTCTCATCTGGATTATACTCTTCCCTTGATTATTGCAATTATCATGCCATACGTACTTGCTCACGTGTCCGTTTCTCCACTTTACAGTGAGTCCAGGAGAGCAGGGATTATGTTTTGTATCCTGTGTTTAACCACTTTTCTGGCTCCAAGAACTAGCTATTTTATTCAGTAAATGGGTGCTCTCCCACATAGCAGTCTTGATTGGCCAGTTACATTCTGTATAAGATTTGGGGAAGCTGAGCTGGACAATGGTAGGAAGGAATGGGTATACTCAGAAAGAGGTATGGGAAAGGAAGAAAGAATTAAGCAAAATTGGAAGTTTAAAGTATCCAGTGGCAGTGGAGAAAAGTGTTGAGAAGCTGAAAGGCTATATGTTGACCCACTTCAGTTTGGCAGTGTTGGCTTCAGAGTAAATTTAACTTTTGATAGAGAGAGGAAAAGTATATCTGAGCCTAAATGCTTGTGGTGAATTGGCCTCTGTATTTTCCTCCAAATTTTTATTAAGCACTTATTCTGACCTCCAATGGCCTGACTTCATGAAAATTAGTCAGTTTGTTTAAGAAACAATCTAACCCTACTTTGATTTATGTTTAAAGCCTGGTAATATTAAAATTATGCAGAATTTTCAATTTTTTGTCAGCTGCTTAGATGCCATCTTGAGACCATATAAGACTGTACGATCTTGAAAATAAAAGCAAAAATGTTAAAATTAGCTTTTTTCTTTCCCCTAGAATAGGTAAACTTTCTTAGTGTTAACCATGTGATTTTTAGCAGCAACACAAAAAATTCGACCTCCTTTCATATTTCCCAAAGGGCTGTTATTGGGGCTGCTGTTGTGGGCTGGGGGCAGCTTTCATCTTGTCTCCTTCTCCGCCTTGCCACAGCTGACTGCTTTCAGCATCTGATCAAGCAACACCTTTTCTTTTTCACATGGCAAATTAGCTGTGTCTTCTGGTGACTTGGTACCTTTGAAAGTGTGATTTTTAATAGGTACAAATCTATTGGGAACTTTTTATTCAATTAAAACATCTAGAAATTGAAAGACAGCATAAGGCAAGGAGAGTGGAGGGAAAG